AGAGGGTTTGTTCTTTTCATCCATACGGTTTCGGCTTGCACAAGTAATAAGACATAGGGCACAGACTTATTCAACGGTACCAGGTTCTATATAAACCAGAGTGAAACATGCTAAGATTCTTGCATCAAGAAGCTTTCATGTCATCAAGACCAACGCTAGCCTGCGGGACGAGAATAATAAAAGCATCATAAGTCACTTGAAATTTTAAAGCGGTTGATCAAAGGCTTGTCATAATTAAGGAACGCAATATCTCACCAAAAACTTGTGGTTCTCTTCGAGAAGAGGGGGAAACGTTGTGCAGAACTTTTCAATGTCAGCATTGATGTCACCTGATCCACCGATAACATCCATAAATTTCTTCCTATCAGGAGCAAGTTTCATCGCAACCTGCAATATAAATTTTGATTAATTCAAGCTAAAGGAAAACATAATTACCAGTTATGGCATCGGTAATCTTTCCAATGCAACGAAGAGCCAAAACAAGAATTTTTGGCTATTTTCACACAAATTTCAAAAATAGCAGAGCAGTTAGTAATTTCCCAAACTACCAGTTATGGGGAAAGGTGCTGCCACGTTAAAAACCCAGCGGGAAAAGAGTACATCACCTCTGAAGATGTTATTAAATCAGGAATTACAATAGTTCATCACAATAGAAATAATAAATCACTAGTCACTGGTCACTAGTCAATACAAGAGAGATTTTGGGGTTCAGATTCAGTAGATTTGGATGCTAATAAAATGTAAATCAGATGACATTACCGAAAAGCTAGAGCTAGCAAGCCAGCCATGCCATTTCTTTAGGGTTTTCCCATATGAATCTGAGCAGGCTTGTGACATGGTCCAATCAGGATGCTCAAGTAAGTTTCGGAAAAGTGCCACCAAGAAATCCATTGCCCTGAATGAAAGAAATAGAACATAATTAATAAGGAAAAAGAAAAAGTAAAGGACAATAAACTAGAAAGTAAATTTCATGAATCATACCTAGTTAGCCAGAGAAGGCCATTGGTACAACTTGAAGAACCCTTTGCTGTTTTGGCATCAACTTCTTCTTGCACCATACTGTAAAGGTGCTCGTACTTGGACGGATTAGAGGAATATTTGTTTTCTAGTCGCTGCAAATAAAAGATTGGTAAAACAAGCTGAATGAAAAATTGGCTCAAGATAATAAATTTTAAGATTACTTGCTGATGCAGTTAGTCTTTGTGTAGGAAAACTGTAGGTCATATATTAGAAAGGATCCATCACCCATCTGAAATAACTATTAAAACAACATATTCAACATGTTGGTCACTGTCATGAAGGATATAAAGTGTTACCGTTATATTGCCCCCTATATCAGACTTAACAAGTGCCATAGCAGCTCCAAATTTATCTGGCAACATATGTATTATGCTCGAGTCAGTACCATGAGAATCATAAAGAGCTGACATGGTGAATCAGTTCAAAAATAACTGAAACCCATGTATTCAAATTTAATGCATCTATAGTTTGTAACTTACAAAGCAGGAGAAAAACAGTTATGAAACTTGAAACTGTCAAATGTGCTAATTTAAGCTTATGATTGGGGGCAGGGCAGACCTCCCAAAAATTTGAAGACAAAGAATAGGCATAGAAACAAATGGAAAAGGAAAAGAGGAAAGATAAGGGAACGTCAATCCTCCATTTTAACTTAATACTGTCGATTGTGTTCTAAAGAATGTCACACTATTAATCAGCTATTTCCTTGACTAATAGTGAAAAAACCTTATACGACATTTTGCATAGAACTATAGGCCAAAAGAGTGACATCCTTTTGGTATGAGTTCAGCTTAACAAATACACATGAAAACTAGACCAATTCACAAAGAGCATGTATAATATATAAGCTAATATTATTATTTAATGCCCACATGCAAGTACATCCACGAAGAAACACATCAACACTGAGATACGCCATGTTCCTGCAATCTTGATAACCCATTTAGGGCGCTCATATCCCTTGTCAAGTGACACCCATACGTGCTTCCCAAAATAAAATAAAATAAATGCAAACAGTTGTCAGTTCCTTAAAATGCAAACAATCTCCACATCGAAAAGAAGAAAACGAAAGATGTTTTGAATTCAAACTAATTGATGCGAAAATCAAACAGCTGCATGAACCCAAGTTGCAGGATCGGAATGGGTTTCCTCATCTTCACTCCCAATAAAATGTGCAACATCCTTTTGCTATATTTATGCATAACTGGGAACCGCATTTTGTAGCTTAGTTTGAGATTGACACCAAACAGGTTTCATCTGAAACGTGTATAGCCATTCCAGTAGAAATCTTCTATCAAGTATGCATACACCAACAAATACATAAAAGTACAGTTTCATGAACAGAAAATTTACCAAAACATATTTACAGTAAATTCAGAAAGAGTTACATAAATGAGATATAGCAGATAAAAAAACCGTCACAAGCTAGCAACACAAACAGACTGAACATAAATGACTGTTTCTTCTACTGGTTTAACATGACGGACGTCATATAAATTCATAACAGTAGAATTAAGATGAGTTGCATAACAATAGACTCAATAGTAAGAAGCGATTATCAGGCAAACAGAAGCCAAAATATGGATTCCGCTTATGGAGTACGCTTTTATGAGACAGAATTGTCTGACGAGTGTAGGATAGCTTAAATGGGAAGAACTAAAATGAGCAAATAGAAAACAAAATTAGGGTCTTACTAAATCAATGCATATCCTATTGCTGAGGAGTGTCTTATTGATGTGTAAAGCATGCAAATCATAGCGTTAAAACTCAAGTTGCAGATCATGTTATCTGTCTATAATTCATACATCTATAGTTTATATGCATATAAATTTCCTGCATGTGATGGTAATAATGTGTGTAAACCAATTCTTGACCATAAAGGATATTAAATTTCGATGTACTGTAATCTGTTGCTAGGAAAGGCGTCCAGAAATCAATTGCATAGGAGTGCATAATGGAAATAAATTAAAAAAGGAAACATGTTTAGTGACAGATTATAATAGTTAATTTACCTGACTCCTACTTGGATAAATTGTAAACTATGGAACTCATCAGTAATTCACTTCGAAAACAAGCAAAGAAACAACTTATGTACGATGCCGATAAAGACATAACGAAAAAACAGAAACAAATATCAAAAAAGGTATCGATAGTTAAGAGAAATATCAATCTGAATATTTAAACATTCAGCATTATTTCACTATGCCGACGCATTTTCACGGTTTTCAAGCAGAAGAATCGCATTAAGCACCTAAAGGACAACAACAGAACCTTTATCATGAAACTGTTATAGTCATTTCACAGGAATCTTTTCCATATAATTATTTGTATAATGAGAAGCACATGCATGTAGGTAGTATAGTTTTAAGCCATCACAATTCAAGAGAAACATATTTTCATGAATTTTTTTACGACAGAGTTCAAAAGTAGACCTCCATATCTAAATCAAACCATACATACCTATAACCGGTAGAATGAGCTTGCACACATCAAGGAAAGGCTTCGTCAGCATTTCCCCTTGCTCTGACTTCACATTCTTCATTCCTTCCAATGACGGTGTGAACACTGTGCCCTCCATAATCACTCTAAAGTCCCTACTCCTATCAACACCACCCCATAAGAAAAAGTACAAATTCAACATCACACATCTTTAAACAACTCACAAGCAATTCAATTTCACGTATCTACTCGAGTAAAAAAAACAATTGTTTCAATACACAGTCAAGAATCCCAAATTTCAATCAGGATCATCAATATTACACCTTGAGCCGTCAGTAATCAGTGCCCAGCACCAGCGATCTGAGGATCCAACGGCTGTAAAAGGCGGCACATGGATCTTTTGGCTGGTATTTTCATTATAAACAAATTCTCAAGATCTAAACTAAATATTATTTTTTTTTCAAAGGAAATTTAAAAATAATAGAAAATAAAATTAGAACCATTCTGGACGTGAGATCTTATTTGATACCAAGAATCCGAGGATATTAGCACTAATGAAGTTATTGAAGGGGAAAGAGAGCAATCTGAGCCCAATTAGGGCAAAATATCTCGTCAAGATCGTTCGATTGATTCCCATTTTTTGGAAATTTAAGCTTTAGACCTGAAATAAAAAGAAAAAGAGTTCGTTTTTTTTTCACATTCTTACCAGAAATTATCGGATCAAGGAGGAGAAGGATTAATCCGATGAATTCGCAACGAAATCCTTGGAAATTTGTCGAGATTTTTGCAGCGAGATCGGGAATTTTTCGTAGTGGCTCTTTTTTGTAGTTCTCCAAGAGTCCAAGTAGTGGAGAGCATGATAAAGGAACGGTATTGGGCCGGGTCGGTGAGTTGTAAACGAACCGGATAACTAGTAAAGAGATCCGACCCGCTAAGCTCTGGCCCTGAGTCCTGACCCGAATTAAAATTGGGTTAATTGCCGAAAATCCCCCTCAATTACGGGGTATGTCTCAGAAGACCACCCTTTTACCTATTTTAATTTGAGTAAACTCCCTTTAAGTTTGAAGGTGTTATATAGACAACCCCACTCAAGTTTGAAAATTTGGCTTAAACTTCTTGAACTTTATTCACTTAAACGCCAATTGATGTCGTTAAATCTAACGCGACAAGTAACAATCATATTAATTCAAAAGACAAAGGAATTCCTAGCCAAAAAAAAACCTCAGAAGAAAGATGAAAGCAAGGATTAAAACACCATAGCTTTGAACCATTTCTTACTGGTTGGGATGTTTTGTAATTGAGATGGTTGTTGTCGTAAAAGATACTAGGTCATTTCACATTTTGAAGTAACAACATCCAAGAGTTTTTCTAAGAAAATTGTAAAAACTAGGAAAATTTGACACACAATAGTTGGCGGTGGTTTAATTAAATTTTCAAAAGTGAAGGAGGTTATCTACAGCTCTCCCAAAATTGAGTGGGTTTTCCTTGAATTAAAAAAGCGATGGATATTTTATGAGACACCTGTTAGGATTGTGTATTTGATTCTTTGTATAACTTCATAAGAATTAGATAGGGTTAGAGATCTATCATAATTAGGAAACTAGGTTTTATCATGATTAGGAGTTTGAATCCTATTCTAATTAGGAAGTTAGGCTAGAGAAGGGTTTTGGTTTTCCTATAAATATATCCTTCTATTGCTGGAGGAAAAAAGCTAAGAGTAGAGAGAAGGAGAGAGAGGGTTTGGTACTCTTTGTCTGTGTAAAAGATTATAATTTGGAGGTGATAGTGGATTGATTTTTAATCCCGTGGTTTTTCTCTGCTGAGGGTTTTCCACGTTAAATCTTGTGTGATTCTATTTGCTGTGTTTGGTATTTTTTCGGGGTTTTTGCGAGATCTAAAAATCCCAACAAGTGGTATCAAAGCGGGGTTCGACGGTTCATGGAGGTTTGACCAGTGTGCGATTGGTGAAGGCGTCAGCGGTCGAAGCGCGAAGATCGACATCGAGGGAAACAAAAAAAAGAAAGGGTATTGTAGCGGAATATTGTAGCGGCGTGGGAGACTTGTTGATGTGGGGTTAATCACGTGGTGGAGAAATCCGACGGAGTAGATTGATTTGTCTTTTGATCGAGGATTTGGAGGTAGATTTTGGTGAACCAGGAGTCGTTCCCAAGGTTTTTCAACACGCTAAGTTCATTTTTGACGTTGGTTTTATCAAATTCAATCTCTACAGTGACTGATTTGAATTTTGATTGTGGTTAGAGGATGATAACTTCTTCAGGTCCGAAGTTCGATATTCCGCTATTCAACGGCAAGACAAATTTTATAGTATGGCAGTGCACGGTTCAAGATATTCTTGTACAGCAGGGTATTGATCAATCTTTGGAGGAGAAGAAACCTAAAGGATTGAAGGATGCTGAATGGAGTTCCATGCAAAAGAGGACGGTTAGCACAATTCGTTTGACACCCGCCCCCGAGATCAAGTACAATGTTATGCAAGAGACCACACCAATAAGGCTATGAGAAAGGCTTGAGGGGATTTACGCGTCGAAGTTGATGACCAACCAATTGTATTTGAGGATGAGGCTTTATTCGTTGAAGATGGAAGAAGGTAATGCAATTCAAGACCACGTCAATGCCTTTAATCAGCTAGTTTGTCAACTTATGAATATTGATGAGGAGATTAAAGAAGAAGAGCAAGTGCTACTCCTATTGTCTTCCTTGCCGAAATCATACAAGCCGTTAGTTCAGACAATAATTGCAAGAAAGCAGACTTTGAAGTTCAACGATGTGACAGCACTCCTACGTGAGAATGAAAGAATGATGGGAAAGGAGAGCGCATCTAATGGTGGTGAGAGTGCACTAGCTTTTGAAGGTTCTAATCGAGGGAGGAGTAAAGGGAGATGTGACAGTTATCGAGGAAGGTCAAAATCTCGAGTCCGAGACGACAACGAAAGGGAGTGCTATTATTGCGGAGAGAATGGTCACATTCAGTTCAGATGTTCTCAGATGCGTGATGATTTGAAGAGTATTAGGCAGATGAAGCTTCAAGAAAATAGGAAGAAGGCGGACTCATTGGTGGTTGTGTGTGATGAAGATGTAGTGTTGTTGATGCAGAGTACAGTTACTAATGCGAGTTATACTTGGGTGTTAGATTCTGCAGCCTCTATGTACATTTGTAACAATAAAAATTATTTTGACACATTGAAGACATATAAAGAATTTAACGACGTGATTGTTGGAAACAACGAGAAGATGAAGGTTGGAGGTGTTGGAAATGTTCGCCTCAAGCTTCACACTGGGAAGGTCGGAATTCTTCATCATGTGAGATATGTGTCGTCATGTGGTGCTAACTTAATTTAGTTGGGTGGGATGGCATCGCGTGGGTACAAGTATATGGGTGAATGAGAGTGGTGCAAAGTGTATAAAGATGGTGAGTTAATTTTACGAGGGAGGAAGAATAGCAACCATATTTGCTATATAGATGGACGATCCGTTAATGGTGTAGATTATTCTTCTCAGACTCTTGTCCACAAGGGAGGTGAAGAACAACAAGAAGAGAGTGATTTTTTCTGAAGCCGCAGAGACACTTGGAGATTTTTTTCGTTGAGGTGGAGGCGCCACAGCGACCACAGCGAGATAAATGAAAGTGCGAAAGAAATAGAAGACTCTAGAGGGAGTAAATTTTTAAGACAACGATGATATATCTTCAAGGGAGTTCGTGAATCAAATCCAATGTGGAGATTATTAAGATTGTGTATTTGATTCTTTGTATAACTTCATGAGAATTAGATAGGGTTAGAGATCTATCATGATTAGGAGAATAGGCATGATTAGGAGTTTGAATCATATTCTAATTAGGAAGTTAGGCTAGAGATAGGGTTTTGGTTTCCCTTTAAATATATTTTTATATTGTTGTAGGAAAAAAAACTAAGAGTAGAGAGGAGAGAGAGGGTTTGGCAGTCTTTGTCCGTGCAAAAGATTATAACTTGGTGGTGATACTAGATTGATTTTTAATCTCGTGGTTTTTCCCTGATGAGGGTTTTTCACGTTAAATCTTGTGTGATTCTATTTGCTGCGTTTGGTGTTTTTTCGAGGTTTTGCGAGATCTAAAAATCCCAACAACACCCCACAATTGAGGATGTTAATTTCTCTAAAATTAATCCTAAAATTTTCTCTTAAAAAGAAAATGAACTGCATCCTAATAATAATAATAAAGTGCATATTATATCTGATAACAAAATAAATAAATAAAAGTTATATACTCTTCTTTCTTCTGCCTGAATTGAGTGGATTGAAACCCATAATGTTACGTAGATGTATTTGCCTCCAAGTGCTCCTCTACATAAAATCATAACCATAGACGACCAACATATATAAACTCAAAAGACTAATGAATTAATTCAGTTAGACATTTGTACGTATATATAGACCAAATTGTCAATTAAGCTCCATTAACCAAACCAAATTCCACGAAGTAGTGTCGACATCATCACTTGTATCTGATTAACATACATCTGTAAACATAATAATCTTATTATATGACTCGCTAATTAAAACATTATAGGAATCATCAAATGGGCTTTGAAGGATATTTGATGGCATTCTTGACAATCTTCTTGAGAGCTGCATCCGCAAGGTTGATGCCACAGATATCTGACAATCTTATGAGATACAGCAGGACATCAGAAAGCTCTTCACCGAGATGCTCCCTCTCCGCTTCCTTCCAATTTGGAAGACCAGGAGCCACTTCTCCTTTCCACATGAATATCTCTGAGAGCTCTCCTACTTCGCCAACCTATATATGAAGAAGCCGAAATTAATTAAGTGAATCTAGCTGCTTCTTTTTATTAAGATTTTCTGACAAATTAAGGGGTCTATCTGTCAAAATCAAATTAAAGAGGCGGTGCGTTTCAAATTAAGCACGCACGACAACGAAGGGTTCTATGTTATAAAGCTAACGTTGTTGAGTGAGCCCATGTTTCGGCCCATAGAAAGATGGTGCAGAATAAGATTATAATCTACAATCTTCATCGTGACTTTGAAGTTCGATGCGTTAGAGGAGGCATTAATTATTAACCAAAGCCTGTAGTTCATAAGGTGCGTATATGATGACGCGGTGGAAATTGATTGAGATTATGATAATGGTAAGATAATCTACCTTTGATGCCTCAAAACAAATTTATATATCATATATCATGCGACATTTGAATATGGTTCTTTGGTCTGATCATCCCTAGCTAACCCCATACAACATTTGACGGTACCAAGAGAAAGTTGAATCAACGACGGAACATGAGCGCAGAGATTGTCTTTAGATACTAATGAAGCATAATATTGTTGCATGCACTAAGCATCCACATTTGACCTTCCGTTTTCGGTGTCATCGCCGTCACCGACAAGCGAAGCTATTGTTCAAGCGCACGAATGATAAAATAGCAACAGGATGTTCTAGAAAAAGATATGCATGCAGCTCAAATGGGAAACATTTTGTTATGTCCTGTAGAGAAGTGGGATATGAATAAATTTGTTGTTTACCAATTTGGCAAAAAAAAAAGACCAATTTGGCCGCATATGTCGTGGTGCGTTACCCACTAGAGACTTCCGGTTGCAAGTACTAATAAGCAAATGCTTCGTTCGTGTGCTAATTGTAATTAAGCCACTAATTAATCTCAATCGATCCACTAATTAATCTCAATTGTAATTAAGCCACTAATTGTAATCATGCTGCATGTGGAAAATGCCAAAGAGCTAAAAATAGAAGCCCGTAAAGGTCCTCTTTACCTTTGAGGGAATAGTCTCTCGCCTTTCCACAACTCACATCTACGTACGACTTTATTCTATAGTGTGATTTTTTAAAAAAATTAGTGAAAGAATATAGTTTTCTTTGAATAAAAGATGGAAATATATATATATATAGATATATATATATATATATATATAGATATATATATATAGATATATATATATAGAGAGAGAGAGAGAGATAATGACAATAACATTTGAAATGGGATCCCTATTCCATAAAAAAAAGGAAAGAAAGAAATAGTGTCATCATCATTCTAAATATAAATAAATGACTGTGACTTACAAAATAATCTCTTTACTGTTGAAAAAAACAAAGAAAAGCGAAATTAATCCACAATGAGGTTAAATTCCATGATATGTGAGCTTCTTAGTTTACTCTGTTTTAGACTTTTAGTCCTGTGCTATTTCTTTTAAAATTAGCCTTTGAAATATTTAATGTTTTATGATAAAATCTTGTTAAAATAATTCCTAGAATGTTTGAAATGCCTTCTCGATCGATCGATCAGCTTGCATGTGGGTGATTCTGAGAGGATTTGTGTTTGTTTTGTTAAGTATTAACTCATCTGCATTTATCTGCATTCCCAAATTACATTTTTTTTTCCTTTATTAAAGGATTAAGAGCATCTCCAAGAGTGATCTTAGGTTTTCCTTATAGGGAGCCAAATAAGGAGTAAGTGCTCCAACAATGCTCCCCAAATAACTCCTTATCTCATGTCTTAGACCAAATCATATTCCCTATATTTAGTCTCCAACATAGGGAACCTGATGGAGCAGCTGTTGGAGATGCTCTGATGAGAGACTTCTCGCAGAAGGAACATTAGTGCGCTTCCAAGTTCCAAAATATCTAATTTGTACTTCCAATGAATCAGGTCCTATGGTATATATATATATATATCTTTTTTTTTCTCAAAAAGGTGATGAACTGGGTTCTTGGGTCTATCCGTTAGAATCTACAGGATGAGATACAGATGCCATTAGATTAAACCAATGAAAAGGGGACAACCAAAATATTAACATTCTATAAATCTTTCAATGCACGCTTTGACAGCTAGCTTAAATGCGCCCCCCTCAAAATTATTATAGAAAACTGATGTGGAATCTAGGTCATAGCTACAGCTAGACGTTGAAATAGTACTAAATTATGGTGTAATCACAAGACAAATATGAATTACCGTAAGGAATTAAGGTAGCCCTCCGAGATTATTAAAGATCCATGTCCCAAAATATAAGGCAGGTGAGGGTAATGCTTGGAGGAATATATGCCATAAATAAAATAATAGTACTACTTTTACTTGTTTATTTCAAAATTTTGACCGTCTTCTTCAAATATATATATTTCTATTTTAAAGGATAAGATGAGGCCACCTAGATTTTCTAATATTTTAAAAGTGGCCTTCATAATAGTGGTTTTTAAGACAAATAGTGGCTTTTTTTCAGATGGTAGTGAAATCTCATGTGTCCACATCTCAACCCTTAAAATTGGGATATACGGTTAATTAAGATTAGGGTAATTATACGCTCTCCACTCACCAGCTAATTAATTAGAGAGTATCCATATCCCTCTTCTTTTGTTATGTACCGAGTGTTTCGTTAAGATCTTTTTAATGAAGGAATGGAGGTCGTATTTCTTAAATATATAGAACAACTTGATGATATGCAATATTCTTATACCTTATGAGAGACATGGAAAAACATTAATCAAAACTTCTAGAAAAAATTATCATTCAAATATGGTGAAATTGGTGCGTGCTAAACCTTAAGAAACAACAAAAAAAAATAAGGGCTAGGATTAAAAGAGGAAACTAACTGAGAGTGAATACCATAGCAAGTAGGAGGTTCCTTGGGCTGTGGTATGGCTCCCAGTCTCTCTCCTTGGCAAACTCTTCAAGCCTTTTGGAGAGATCTTTGAGGCTAACATCCACAGCATTTTCCTCCTCTCTCTTCTCCACGGTCTCCTCTTTCAAATCTCTCTCCATGGTCCTCTCTCTCTCTCTCTCTCTCTCTCTCTCTCTCTCTCCTCTTATTGTGTATATTGACAAGAGAAGAGGAAGAGCCGTGGCTTCTTTATATAAGGAGGGGAGGAGGGGCAGCATAGTAAATTAGTCAAAGCTAATTAAGAAACAAATTTAATCCTAGAAAAAATGTCAATTATTATTTCTTAATAAAAAAACATGCCACGAAAATGGAAGGTATGGACGCTAGTGGGCGAAGGATACAATTTTCAATCAATGGACACAATTTGTAAATGCATGAGGAGATTCCACCAACCGACGTGCACAAACTAATTAAAGCCAATCCTATTTTAATTTGCCCAAAAAAATGACGTACGTGGGTGTATACATGTACTATTAATTTGGGGGGTCGGATGGTTTCCCCCCTACAGGTGAAAATTAAACTACTATCTATTAATCGGTTTTTCTATAGAGTGTTCATGGGCATTCTATAAGAGAGGAGAGTGATAGAAAAAAATGAATAGCTCCTAGCTATAAAATACCACGGAGAAGAAAAAAAAAGCAAAAGGTTACAAGCTCAAATTCTAAGTAGCACGTGCGGAGAACCTGATACCTCCTGGGTATAAAATACTACGGAGAAGAAAAAAAAAGCAAAATATGGATGGCTCATCTAACCAACACTTTTTGGACCAATATTCATCTCCATCAAAAGATTCAAAAAACATTACGAGCCAAAAAGATGAGGAAAAAGGCAATAGACCCCTTAGGTTGTACAAATATTTTGACCTAGCGGATAGTGGCGGTGGAGGAATAAATTAAAGGAGATGATAATATAGCTTAATTAGTAACATGTACTAATACTAACTAAGAACTCGAGCGTCTATGTGCTTAATACAATAATCATGTTACAAATGATTATAGATGTCTATTCTATGCTATATATTAGAGAACATACAACCTCAATGATAATTGTCCTATCCAACCTGAGCCTAAGCAAGAGGACCCTCTTCCATTCAAGAAAATTCTAGATATTAGAGATTTTTTTTCGGTTTTAGTATCTTATATATCTTTCATATTTTGATATTACCCTCATATCATTGAAATTGCTATCCGAACCCTCAACTTAAGTTTCTCGTCTAAAATTAATCCCTCAAATAATTGAATTTGCTATTGGGTCCCTCAGTCCGTATAAGTTATTGTAAATCAGTCCCTTTAAATTGCTGCTTCTAAAGTGTGATTGGAAGGATTTTTTTTTTTTTAACCTGAGAAACAGGGAGGGGTGCCCTGTTCATTTAAATATACTGAAAAAGAGTTTATAAGAGGAGAATACATCATCTCTAGTTGGAGAAAAAACAGTGGGAGGAGTGAGTAGGGAGCGGACCATTGTCGTCACCTACCACACTAGACCTACTGCTTTCCTACAGCTAGAGAAAACAAAAAAAACCAAAAATTAAAACTACATTTCAGAGAGGGGGTTGAAACAGCTACAAAACTTTGATTAAAAACTGAATAATGCTAGACGCAGCTAGCAGCTGACCAAAAAGGGAGCATCTTCACCAAAAGGTTCTACTTCCTGCTGGGACTAGAGGCGCAGGTTCTTAGTTGCTAGAGAAATTATCTCCAGCATCACCAGGGGTGTTCTTCTTGGCTAACTCCTGAAAGCCGAGGTTGAGGGATGCCCTTCGAAGCCTCCTCGTCGTCCTATCGTCTGTTGTACCTGACCATAGAATTAAAAATCTCGCAATATTAGAAGCAATTGAAAGCGAGATGGGCTGAATATCCTTGAAAATTAGAGAATTTCTACTGAACCAGATCCACCAACAAAAACATGGCAATAGAATCTTCCATATGGCTTTAGTATCTGAGCAAATATTAGGAACTTTGTGAAGCAGCAACAATTCTTCCATGTTCGTAGGCCAGCTGTTAGCTGGGAAGAGGGGGAGAAGGGAGTTCCAAACATCGCGAGCAAATGAGCAGTGGATAAATAAGTGATCGTGAGTTTCTGTTTCCCGATGACAGAAAGGACAGCTTGGATCACCGATCCATCCTTTTTTTATCAAATTATCTCTTGTATTCAGCTTCCTTTTAGAAATAATCCAGGGATGGACTTTTACCTTTAAGGGAATGTTGGATTTCCAAATCGTGTTGAAGAACTGGGATTTTTGACCCCCTGAAGAAACAAATGTGTAAAAGGATTTTACAGTGAAAGTGCCCGAAGAAAGAAGGGGCCACCGCAAATCATCCAGCTCAGATAAACCACCTGGATTTAAATGCTCTAAGAAAGAGTTAAGTTGGATAATGTCTGCCCTTTCATTAGGGGAAATGCCCCTTCTAATTAAGGGATGTCAATTCCATGAATTATTGAGCCATCTTCCTTGTGAACCAATGCTGCAGTTTTTTGAGAGGGCTAACTTATATGCATGTAGGAAGAGGCTGCTAAGAGTATTTGCCGAAGACCATTTATCATGCCAAAAACTGCCAGTGTTACCATCTCCAACATTCCATCTGGCAATGTTAAAGAATGTGGATTGAATGGAGAAAAGATCCTAAAAAAATCTTGAAGATGACATCTTCGGTTGGTGAGCAAAAGGATTTGCTCCATTTTTAGAATAAATGGAGAAAAACACTTTACTAAATAAGGATGTTCTGTCGAAAATTTTTCATATCCATTTTGAGAGGAGGGCTGAATTAAAAGAGGGGATATCAATCACCCCAAGCCCTCCTTCTTCCTTAGACTTACAAACTGTTCCCCAGTTGACAAGACATTTTGATCTAGAGAAACTGTGACTGCCATTCCAGAAGAAATTCCTTCTGATTTTATCTATGGCCTTGATGACCCATATCGGCAGCTTAAAGAAAGACATATAGTAGAGAGGGATGGAGGAGAGAACAGAGTTCAGGAGAGTTAATCTACCTCCAATGGAGAGAGCTTTGTTTTTCCATAAAGATAGCTTCTTTTTGAATGATTCTAGGAGAGGTTGCCACTCTCTTTTTGATAGAGAACCTCTTTTTAGGGGAAGTCCCAGGTAAGGGAAAGGGAGGGAACCGACAGAACAGCTGAGAATCTCTGCCATAGAGTTGCCTTTATGAGGGGTTTTGCCAAGATAGAAGAGGTTGGTTTTCTGGGGATTTGCACAAAGCCCCGAAATGCTTGCAAAGATGGAGAGAATGGTCTTGAGAGTAACCATATCAGAGGGGATTGCCCTAGAGAAGATGATTGTGTCATCCGCAAATTGAATGGTTCTAATGGAATTGAGATTCCCTCTCAAATTGAGGTTAGAAAGGTCTCCTGAAGCTGCGCTGCACTTGAGCATCTGACTAAGAACATCCACCACTAGCAAAAAAAGAAGGGGGGAGAGAGGATCGCCTTGTTTGAGACCCCTATAACATTTGAAATAGGAGGTAGGGGAACCGTTAACCAGGACAGCTGATTTAGACGAAGAGATGATATGATGTATCCAGAAACACCACTTGGGGCTAAAACCTCTAGCTTCAAGAAGGGAAAGAAGAAACGACCAGTTAACACAGTCAAAAGCCTTATAAAAGTCAACTTTAATGGCACAAACTTCTTTTTTTCCCAGAAGAACAGTAGTTGATCATTTCATGACCTAAAAGAAAAGAGTCCAGAGAAGATTTGCCTGATTGGAAAGCCGATTGAGAGTTGTCGATGAGAAGGTGGAGGACTTTCCTAAGCCTGTTTGCTAGGATTTTGGAAAAGATCTTGCATGAACTGTTAATCAGGCTTATCGGCCGAAAATCTTTGGGGGAGTTAGCATCATCCTTTTTGGGAATGAGACAAATATGAGAATAATTAATATTATGGAGAGATTGGGGTGAGAAAATAAGCCTTGAATGATCTCGATGACATCAGATTTAATTACAGGCCAAAACTTTTGATAAAACAGAATAGGCAGACCGTCAGGTCCAGGAGATTTATCGGGGTGAAGCCCAAAAACAGCATCAGTGATTTCCTGTGGAGAGAATGGGAGATCAAGGGAAGATAGATCTATGTGATGTTGAGGGTATAAAAGGTTCCAGTTGGGTCTCAGGCTGGAGACTGGGGGATTGCTGAAGAGGTTAGAGAAGAAAGTAAGAAAAGATTTTTTTTAATGTCACTATCTGAGGAGATGAAAGAGTCATTGATAAGGAGGTGAGGAATGAAATTTTTTCTGCGGTGGTAGGATGCAACTTTAAGAAAGAAAGATATATTATTGTCTCCTTCTTTCAACCACTGAATACGGGATCTTTGCTTCCATTTGATTTCTTCAGCATTAGCAAGAGAAAGAACCTGTTCCTTTAAATCGGATCTAAGTTGTAATTCAATGGAGGATAGGTTCCTAGACTCTTCGCTAATATTTAGAGAATGGATTTGAGCCATAAGGTTAGAAAGAAGTTGAGGAAGGGATCCAAAACAGTACCTTTTCCACTATTTGATTCTTTTTTTTATGAGTTTAAGCTTGAAAGGAAGGGACATATGGCGCTCTCCCCTCGAAGAGAAAGAAGACCAGCTGGATTCTATGAAGGAGTGAAAGGAGGGGATAGATAGCCGCATCTTTTCAAATCTGAAGGGGGGGGACGACAGGGGAGTTGGTGTCCAGCATAATTGGACAGTGATCTAAACATTGGGCTGGATAAGCATACTGTACCACGAGAGGAAAGTTAGCTTCAAAGTCCAACGAGACAAAAAATCTGTCCAATCTGGCTAAAGATGGGGGGATCTATGGTTGGATCAGGTGAATTTCCTCCCACTTAGAGGGAGGTCGATAAGATGGACAGAGTCGATGAGACGCTGGAAAGATTTAATGTCTCTAAGGGAGCTAGGGAGACCACTTCTTTCTTCTGAACTTAAGGTCATGTTAAAATCACCAAAAACAACCCACGGCAAAGCATGGGAGCTTCTAATCCTCTCAATTTCCCACCAGCATACCTCCCTCTCAGAAGGATCACAAGGAGCATATATGGAAGTTACTACGAAACTCCAATTTGAGGGTTTATGAGTTAGGGTGGCCGAAACAGAGAAAATGTCAGAGGACGAGGAGGAGTAGGAAAAAATGTCCTCGTTCCATCCCAGGAGGATAATCAAGAGATACCCATGATGAAATGAAATTTCCCCCCAAGGATTTAAGAAAAGAAGGGCTAGGGGCTGAGATTTTAGATTCCTGCAGACCAACCAAATTGACTTTGGCAAGGGAAAGGCACTCCCTAACCAACCTCCGCTTAGCAGGATTATTTAACCCACGAACATTACAAGATCCAATACGCATGGATACCGATGGATGGCAACTTTGAAAGAAAAAAGGGGGCTCAAAGAGGAAGGGCCTCTAGAGACATCCTATTTTGGATCTCTATCAAACCTGACCGATCCACCGGTTCGAGGATACCACAGTTCACAGAGATCTCCTCCAATAATTCCAGATCAGATGAAGGGATAGGAGGAGTGGATACAGAGGAAGAGGATTTCGGTTTAGAAGTACCTGAATACTTACCTTTCTTTAGCATGGCAAGATGTTTCCTGAAGGGCAGGTGCAAAGGGTGGCTGCTTGAAGCTTTCTTCTTGGCCGGCTTGGGCTTTCTCCTTGTAGTTTCGAATCCTGGGGGAATATCGGAGGAAGAGGCAATGTCCTTGGAGTCTGAAGAGCTGATCTGGATGGCTATATCTTCTTTAGGAGATAGAGATGGAGCGTCTACCAGGTGGGGAAAGGCTGCTTTGAGAGTGGACCAGGAGTCTTTAGAGATGTCGATCGTGATGCCTTCCTCTTTGCGGACAAAAGCTTCAAAAAGATCACGATCTCTGCCTTTCTCTGCTGGCAAAGGGTCACCAACCACTCTCAGTTTGACCGAACCTTCCAAGATGTGGACACCATTGTCTGATTCATACCTAATGATTACTTCTTGGGGGATTTCGGAGTGATCCCTAACATGCAGCATTGCTTTACAAGCTAGGGCTTCTTTTTTGAGCATAACATCATCGGAGAAGGCGATAACATCTCCTATGAATTAATTAGATTATAACAGTAAAAAAAGAGAAAAGCACATATTAAATACTCATTCTTATTTATGCATAGTTTATGTGTTTTTTCTCTTGCTAACTTCCTTTATTTTCTTCTCATTCACTCATCTTTCATATTTGTTTAATCTTTGATACTCAACATACATAATTGCAATTCTAATCCAGAAGGCCCCAAAATAAAACGTAAGCTTGTTGGTTTTTATTTATTTTAATTAATTTACATTCATTCTCCTCTCACACACACACACACATATAGCTCACGGATATGTTTTGTATTTTGTGTTTTTATTTTTTTTCTTTTATATATTTTTATTAATAAAATCTTATTTACGTTCAATAATGTCTCAAGAGATTAAATGATTTGACAATTTTATCAATTGAATATTAAAGCTTGAATATAAAATCTAATTAGTAATTTGCATCTCAAAAAGCTAGAAAATTAAATTTTATATAAAATTTATTTTTTAAAAACTAATATTTTTTTTAATGTTAAGGCCCTAAATATTTTTCTCTGCCTAGAGCCTCAAAAATGCTTGAGAAGGCCCTGCTATGTCCACAAGAATGTTTGAAATGAACTCCGAGTCATTGAGAATCCCCTACATAAGAAAGCTCGTGATTCCTCGGTTAGCAGCTGTTAAGGTTTTTTACATCATCTGTTTCTAACGCATTCACCTTTAAACGTTAGTGTGTTTGTATGAGGCTTCTGTGTACGGCGTCTCTCTTGCAATGTTGTAATCCTAACATTCATCAAATCAAAGCTTAATAAAATCCAATGAATTATTATGCTTTGACGTTACTTTTTTCCCCCTCCCTAAATTCAAATTCTCATGAATAACAAGTTGTGTTATATAAGTTCCCAAAAAATAAATAAAAGAAGAAAAACTAAATAACTTCGGGAAAAGGTCTAAAGATCTTTTCAGTAAATGCATCTTATTTCATGATCACTTCTCTCAACAAAATTCATGCGCAGTTAAATCGATATCCCTCTCTGTGTATGAGGGACAGCAAGTACATGAATTTTTTACATGCATTTTTCTTGCATTCTTTGAGTATCCATACATAAACATTTGTTGATGTAAAGAACATTCTCTATTTCTCGCATCCTTTTCAGTTTTCAAGTTTAAAAAAAAAAGTATGCCTCTGATGACGAATTGTGTTAATTTATTTGTATGTCATAATCTCTCGTAATGTATCTGGATAGAAATTTAAATTACTTATTCTCTTATCCAAATATTGGTTTATTCCAATATTTATTTGCTCAATTCAACATATTTGAATCTAGATCTCCGAAGCACACATTTATTAGAACAATAATTATTTGCATAATTCCGAAGGCATATGACAATTTGATCGCTGCAATTGAACGATTAAAGTTCTGGGTTTTCCTCCTCTCTATCCGAGAATCGTGGAGCATAATACAATTACATGTTGAACAGATGAGCTTATTTTGTATTATCTTGTACTATACCCATATTATTATCTGAAATATAATAATTTGCGACAACGTTGCTATAACGAAGTCTTTATCCCAAGTATTTAGGATTAGCTATTTGAACTATATAAAAAAGATAAATAAGAAAAAAAGTTTAAACAGGAATCTAGACATAAATTGAGTTCTACCTATTTTAGGATCAAGATCGGATTCAGAGCCAAATTAGTGCTTAGCATTAGAAAAAATATTTAACAGCAGATTCTGCGAACCAAATCTCACCTTTCTGCAGCCTTAACCATCTTCATTTTAAAAACAGTCATATGCAGAAATCAAAACACAGCAAGCTGCGGTCTTTTTGAAGGAGAACTCATACTCTCCGATTTCTACCGACAGAGACTCTAGGTCTCGACTGAAATAGATCAGACCAGCATTGGAAATGTTCTCAGTTATTAGCAAACTATGAATAAAACAAGATACAGGAATTAATTCTCCAATTTACGTAAGAGACAAATTTGAAATAACTAATAAGATTTGAGGGACTTAATATCTTTTTCCCTGATTGGAGGGGCTCATTTCAAAATATTAAAGATGTAAGCGACCATCATTGGAAAATTTTCATAAAAAATAATACAAATTAACAATGGCTTATTGGATCTAGCCATTCGGTCAAGATAAAATCTATGCATCCAAATGTTTCTTGCAAGTAATGACAAAATTAGTACAAATTGCAACAATTGCCATAAACCCTTGAGAAATTCACAGTAAGGAACCCCATAAATTCCACAGCCATAATGTGGGGTGGGAAAGGAATAAAACATACCAATTTTGGGCTCGTAATCTACAAAATATGTTGATTACATAAATACGAATTGCAATAACAAAACCTTACAGCACTTAAAATGATTAATCCACAATACATGGTTATAGAAAAAGATACATTTACTCTTCAGGACCAAGCTACAAGTTACCTGTATAAATAACTAATACAAAATGGGATACATTTATCCGTGATGAGTATGATAGGTTATGATTGAAGGAGAGGCCCCTAGAGCTGATTAGTAGATGACTGGTGATGATGCACGATTAAATCCATAAGTATAATCTTATATATAAAATAAAAAAAATTACAGAAAGGAAAGCCAATGATGAAGCATTTGACTTGTGTCAGTTTCCATTGCAAGAATCGGTGCCAGAGATCTTAGTTCCACTTAAAATGTAACCACCAAATCCACTCATTTGCATATGTGGATGAGTGCGCGATGGAAGAACCTACAACATTAGCATCCATTAAATGACCTACAATAAGAGATACTGACTGCCATCATACGTACACTAGTTAAATGGATATGATAAACATGCATCTGATAAATACGATAAATGGAAAACATTGCTGACCTACTTTATTACAACTCAGTGATTTCAAATACACTACTATCTATCTAAATACAATGCGAAAAAATCAAAATCTTAATATCCATCATCACTACTGATAGAGAAATAAAGAAAGCACCTGGTATTCCCGAAGCCATGGCTCAGAAATTTGCAAGTTTATAGCCATTTTTGAAGTCTGTAGCTTGTGCATACATGTTGCAAGGGGCTGCACATTTTGTCACCCAGTGATACGTCAATAAACCAGACAAGAAAACAGAAATTCTTTACCAAGGGCATAAGGTTATTTTATTACATCAGAAGAAAGATGATGATCATATTATTTTATTTTGCTTTAGAGTATAAAATAATTGAAAGTGTCCATCACACAATAACTGAAATCCAACAAGTCCTTGGTGATTATATAGTTGTTGTGCTCAGAAGCCAATCAGTGATGGTTTAGTATTCATAAGGTGTTCTCCAAGTCTCGTATGAATCTATGTTGCCAAACATGCGGAATACTTCACCCACAGTAACTAATTTTTTTCATTTTCAATTGTTATAATTAAATAGTAAAGGATTATTTTGCATTCTCCTGTAAAAAATGAACAAAATTTACAAAATTCGGTCTCATGATGTGATTTATCCTATTGTGAACTTATACTGCATTTTCCCCCTGTTTTGACCGAGTGCAACTGTTATGGACCTGAGACAACATAACACCCAAATTGTTATATTTTCAAAGTCAGTCAGCCTAAACATTGAACCAGAAGAGTAATCTTCGAAGGCTCACATAAGCTATTACAAATCTATCCAGTACAAATTGGAAACTAGAGAAGGTGTCCTATATAAATATCATAGGACAAAGCTCCAATATAACAAAGAACCAATATATGGTTGGATATTTTCTTATATAAATATCATAGGACAAAGCTCCAATATAACAAAGAACCAATATATGGTTGGATATTTTCTTCATAATTAACTAAAGTAACAATGCCAATATAACAAAGAACCAATATATGGTTGGATATTTTCTTCATAATTAACTAAAGTAACAATGTTCAGATAAATTACTTATAAACATTAGCACTTTCAATATTGAGTTTTGTACTGGTAAATCATGGTCCTGAATGCATAAAAAAGAGTATCACCAAAAGAAATCAATACATTTATGACAACCGAATTCCAAGGTTACTAATTTGGTCCACAGTGATCAATTTTATTGAACAAATAATCTTTAATTGTAGCTGTACTCATAGTTTGTCCACATATTATCTAAATTATCAAACAAATATGTGCACTGGATATCAATCGGAAACTGTCCATGTATAAGTCCTATATATTTTAATCTACAAACTCCATAGAAGCCTCAAGACTATTTGAGTGGTACTTGAACCCATCAAAATGTTAAAATGCAATTTGCTACGAGTATTCACATTGGAAAAACAATGGTGTCTTGTCACCGCAGACATGCATGTTATTTAGATCGTGCAATTTTCTGAACTTATAGCAAAAGGAGATTGTAGTTCCCAACTTGAGGTTGACATAACACACCTGAAGGTACTGATGATAAATTGCAAAAGGTGCGGAATATGATAAAAGTGGTAGCAAATCTTCAATTATACTCCCCACATCCATTTCTGGTGCAGCAACTATCAAGCTGCGAGATGAAAAGCAAAAAAAATGCAGCACTGTAACAATCAGACAATAAAATCTTGTTTAAAGATACTTTATCCCAATTTTCTACCTAGTAAAGCCTTTCTCTTTCCATGATTTTATGTCTTCTGATGATGCCTGCCTTCCTGCAGGTACTGGTTTTTGCACTAAGGAAGAAGTGTTCTGATGTGTGTCATCAACTCCATCAGAAGAGCATGGCAGTAAGGACGCATTACAGGCATTATAATGCAGTTCTAAAGACTGGACATTCGGGTCCTTTTCAAAGGAAACAGCGCCATTGTTTTGAGATAGAGAAAATACAGAAAATGGTGCTTGAAGAATCCTGCATCAATAAGCATCAGTACTTCAATAAGTAGACTGCAGTAAATACATATCCTCGTTTCTGTATAATTTTCCTCTTCGATTGTTATGCAGTTAGAGCATGTAAAAGGGATGCTGGACTGTACCTGCGGCATACTTCATTACTGAAATTGAATATCCTCACTATATCAAGGGAGGGTGGCTTCGTTCCAAAATAGGTACTGCACACATGACCTGAACCTGCCAAGTAAAAGACATAGTCAACATAATTTTCCAGTAATATCTCAATATCAAAACATAGACACAAAATTCTATGTAATGAAAGAATGAATTTTAATTTTTTGGCATATATAAGCCTAATACATTTTATAGGTTTGCGGATCAAAGCTATCATAGTAACTAAATTACATAACAGGTTTATTCATATATAGCAGCTCATAAACACTCAATGCTCTACATGAAGCCCATCTTCCAATGGTTAGGGAGGGCTGTAATTAGTATTGGTCTATTAAGATCAACATGTTGGACCAGTGAGGTTAACTTGAACACTGTTTGCTATTATGATGAGAAGTTTGAGGGAAGGAAATGCATGCTCACCAACTAAGCAACTGAATGATCTAAGTAAACAACTGAATGATCTAAGTAAACATGTCGATGACCACTAGCAACAGGCTTTTTATAAATTTAGCTCTCATTTATTTTATATTAGAAAATTAGTACTTGCATATCGAAGAACTATATTGGATCCTTTGAAATATCATAGATAACATTGTTATTCTAACTATTTAGTCTTTTTCTTACAACCATCATAATGTAGTTTTACATATTAGCTGGTTGGTATATGAATGACATGTTCTGAACACAGATTTCAATAAGCCATTATCCGAAAAATCCATACAATTGTTTACAATTCCAAAATTGATGCTGGACAGGATGAAGTTGAAACAAGTATGCATGTGAAAACACACTTACGCATGCACATATGCATACACCAGAACTTGAATGAGCATACGCAGACACATCCTACCTACTAAACTACATAAGTATACATATGGCTAGCGCTTTAGAGTCTCCAAAGACGAATGAAGTTTGTTCCAACGGTCCAACCTAAGTTGCATGGAAATGGGTACGGGTACATGTACCGGTAGGGGTGCAGGTAACACGCGCACGCGCGCACACACGCACACTATATATATAGAGAGAAGCTCCTATAAACTTAAGTGGATAGGAGCACTTGTCCACCAAATTTTTATCCCTTCATTATGCTTTGAGATTTGTGCTACACATCAATGCTATCTTTGATATTTGTGTCTTCATTTGTATTATATGCTAGCACAAATCTCAATGCAAAATCAATGGATAGAAAAGTTGGTAGACAAAGGACTCCTATCCACTTAAGTTTATAGGAGCTTTACTCTCTCTCTCTCTCTCGATATATATATATATATATATATATATATATATATACCGGTACGGCTGCGGGTACAGGTACGAGACACGGCAAATCTGTAAAATGTAGGGTACGGGGACATGGCTACATATATATATTGAAATTAATAATTTACATGACATCATTATTTTTTTTCAATTCATGTGTTATTAGAATTAACATTCATATCACATTTGTAAGAATTCTCATTATTTTGATTATTACAAATTAGAAATTGGTCAATTTTGAACTACACACCCAAATGATCTTTTAAAATTATAGTTTTGAACTTTGAGTATGGCCTAAAACGAACCCTACTCGTGTCTAATGAGATTCAAGAAATGGATGTGTAGAGTAAGATATATGTCCAAGAAGTGTATAACAAGCGTTTTAAACTAAATGATATATCATATAAATGGGGACATGTCTGAATAAATGAATGCATATACCCAAGGAGTGTCCATGAAGTTTCGGTACGGATACATATTCGGTATGGGTACGGCTTCATGATAGAAGTACCCAGGCAACAGAAATTCCAACCTACCTGAGACCAAGTTGGACCAACCTTATGTGACAACACTCTCTCTTGACCTAGACATTGAGAATCTATAAGGATTAAGGAATTGTGTATTAAAGATCTTTAAGATGTTCATCGAATGGCCCCATTTGTCCTCATTAAACAATCAATTTATTTTGCAACTATTGGAAAAAGGGTAGGACTTTATGTACATGTTTCATGATGTGTAGATCAAGATGAATGGTGTGGAGTCTCTGTACAGGTGTGTCCACAATGTAGTTTCACACGTGGGAGTAAATATCTATCCTCGTCAGGGGAAAGCATAAAGTGATTTCTTACAAACAAAACAATTGGTCCTGCCTTTCCTAAATCCTAATTTTGTGAGAAAAAACATACAAAGTTACCTCCAAGACGTTCTGCTACAGCCCCGGCAAGCATACCACCAACCATATCCACAACAAGGACATCTGAATATGCACCGATATTACCCATTGAAAGCAAAAGAGACAGGGTGTCTACTCGGAGAAACCTGTGAATAATGCAACGAAAAATGACATCAATTCTATGTATACCCTACATGAACGTATCAAATTAACTGCAGAATGATACTGAAAGACAGATTAGCAGTAGAACGAGAAGTAAATCCAATTACATGTGAAAGATTTTAATCAGAAGCTAAAGCCAACAAAACTCCTACTCTAACCTTTAAATTTAAAACGTTCACTTACTTCACATTATTTAAACACGTAATAGCCACACTGTTATATGTAGCATATGTTCAACTCAGTCCATGCCTGAATGCTCTGGATTATATTTAATGTTGTGTACAAATAATTAAATGTTTCATAAACCGCTCAAGAACAACATGGGAGTTGGGAGCCATTACAAGATAGGATGTTGTCAGTATGTCATATGTAAGAAGGTATGTAGCTATGCTTAGCTAACTTGCCTATTTGGTTGTGTAATAGTTCTATAATATTTGTCCCATAACCACAACCAGTGTGACTAACGAACATATAACAAAACAAACTATAACAAAACAAAATGACTTTCCACGCACGATAATGAGAATCACAGTATGATCTATCATAGCAAACTATGGATAACAATGAGAATCACAGAATTATCTATCATAGTGTATTGAATCCAAAAAGAAATCTGCATAAAAGAGGGGGAAATCAAGACACAAGAAGATGGCTGCGTACATCTCTTTAAACACAATTATATACTGAGCTACAATATGAAATCCTTTCATGAATCTATAATTTCAATGAAACATTATATAGTTCATATATTTTTTAAGGAATTAATTAGTAAAATTTAGTCGATAAAGGTTTCATACTTAGTTAATCAATTTTAAACAAATTAAAATTTTTAATTTAAGCAAATCAAATAAGGACTCTTGAATATAATTGAATTCTAATTCAAAATTATTAAAAGAACACAGGACTAACTTGGGTAGATTAATTTTATTGGATTTTTAACATAAACACTGGTACCTTTAACTAAAAGAGATATCTTAACAGAAAATATTTTGGTCGAAATTAATAAAAGAAGATATACAATGAAATATCATGTCATTATAGTATATTTAACATAATAACCACAGTACAAGAAACATATATAGTAATGGTTTAATCAACACTTTAAAAAAACATCTCCAAGATATCACAAATCACAATTTCTAGTGGAAAATAACAAAGCTGATTTGAATTATAATTACCCAATTCGAGTTGGATACTTCTTGAAATATGCTTCACATATACTGCACAAGGAAAAGGAGGACATAAATATTTCAGTAAGTAACAAATGGATATCTTGCAGTAGAATGGAAGCTATATCTAATAAAAACAAACTAAAGAATAATGACACTGAAAAAACAAAAAATAAATGGAAGCACCTAATTAGCATGATATTAGGATTTTGAAGAAGAAAGTAATAAAGATGTTTAAATTAGGATTTAGGAGTGTAAACAACAATATGGTTATATCATAACCATTAATGGAAGGATAGTACCAGACACATAAGCTTGACAAAGAAATTGACACTCCCAACTTAACGCATTTATTAAATATGCTTGAAGAAAAATATAAAGTTTTGAGATGGAGGCATGAGAAGAAAACCTGTCATGCGATCCAACATGGGCTTTTTTTACCTCCTAGCTTAGCGATTAAAGTAGGGTTGTAAACAGTACGAAAAAAACCTGGTAACCTGATCCAATTCTGTGTTATAGGATTGGAGTCAAGTCTGAAGCTTGGGACTTGGGCACCTCTCATATTGAGTTCAAATTAAAGTCTGAATGGAATTGGATTCGGATATTTTAAAACATAATTTTATCCGAATTCAAAAACCAAATCCAACCTGACATCACATGAGCATATAACAAATACAGCCTAAACAAGAAGGAGCTGAATTCAAGCCTGAGTTCAATTGTTTTTTTTTCCAGGCCAGATTGATTCAGATACAATTCACATCTGATGAGATACTTTCTTGTTGAATTTGGACTTAGATTTACACAGATCAAATGAGAAACCAAATCATTTACATTCCTCAACCCAAGCCCTTCTGATTCTGTTGTATTTTGTCATATGATGTACCATACTACATAGAAAGTACTTAGACGAAGCTTTTTTTACCGAAGAGTGATCTCCTAGTACATGGATAGTGATCTCCTAGTACATGGATTCGACAGTGATCTCTATAATGGAGACCACTACATCCTACAAGCAACTATCAACTGAATGTTTAAGCTAATTATACTAGGTAATAGAAGGTTGCTAGAGAAGAAGATAAGTGCAGTGCAGGTATTTTACATCATAAACATGCAAAACTTCAAAAATATGTGACTTGATTAGATGATAAACAAAAGAATATAAAAGGTATTATGAATTATCCTTTACCTTCGAGCAAAAGGACGCCTCAAAAGAACCTTAGGTGCATATTTTTTTTGTTTCTTAAGTTTGTATTTCTCCTGCAAAAAGATCCAATCATAAGCACAGTTATACAACGATTGCCTGAAAATGGCAAATTCAGGTGGTTATAGGGTGAGGTTGGCCAGTGGAGGGTTCCAGGTCAAAGACCAAGGTCCTTCATTTGTTCAGGGAGGAAAAAGGGGAGAAAAAAAAAAGAACTCACTTGTGAAAATGCTGTTTTCTTTCCAAATGTCGAGCTGTTAGCTATAAGAGCATCCACAATTTCATCTCCGGTTGCACCTTCGCTACAATAATTAAAATTCGTGAAGAAATTTTCTTATTAATCTAAAAGCTAACATGTAGTATGGGCTCTTTTGATATCCTTTAAAAAAGTAAGCTTCAAAAAATCTTTTTTAATGTAAAATACTACTCATATTTGTGAAAATCCTTTAGACCGTAAGAAGTGCATGTTGTCTATCAAGTGCAAGCATGTCTTAAGAACAGAATGAGTAAGCATTCACCACTAAGATGCAATTAAAAGAGTTCACTGCTTATATATGTTTCAGGCTTTCTAGGTGCCATGAGAGGTAACCTCTGCATGATAACTAGGCATTTTATACTGAGAAGGCAAGCAAATGAGTCATACAGATATCCGCACTGCAAAAAGATGCCTTTTAAAGTTGACACTGTGAATGATGATAACCAAAAGAGCGAGTTATATTGAATGTCTGGGACATTATTTCATGAAAATAAGCATAAAACAGTAAGTAAGTAGGGGAAGACAGACATTGTGGTAGGAGGTCAAATATGTAAGCAATCATAAACTTGACGATCCAAGTATTTTGCTAAATATGAAGTGTACATACATCCATACTTGAGAAAGTAAAATTAATAAGATAGAAGATCAACTAACCACCGCATTGCATCAATATCTTCTCGAGAAAGACTTTGTGCTGTATTATTGTCAAGTAGCTCACGATTATCCTTGGCCTCATCCTTAGATTGCCAATCATCTTTCTCTAGATCCCGAGTAGCTATTCACAATGAGGGCAATACAAGTATTTCAAACAACAACAAAGATTAATGACAGATAATCCAAAACAAAACTAATACTCTTTGAAAGGAGATTGGCATGGTGAACACTTAGAAATGGGTTTTATAAAAAGCATAAAAAATACCACTTTCCCCACCAAAAAATATCCTAAACACTATTATTTGTTGAACAATTTGCTACTTTGTAGTCAAATATAGAAATGTGTTTAGATATTCAAATCGGCAAATATCAATCCTAATTTGATTCTATCAACAACATATTTCTTCCATGTTTTTGCGCAGTACCCTTATTTTATTATATCTATCAATTAGCATGTGCATGACAATAAAAAGCCAATAATTTGGATGCCCCGTTATTACTAATCCTTCCAATCTGCGAACACAACCAACACTCACCATCAGAGGACGAGGACGACGACGAAGGAACGCAGAGGGCGAGATGGGGAGCACCGTCGGTTCCGGTCTCGAGGCGAAACGAGGAGCCAAAAGGGCGCCCGATCAAAGGATTTAAAGAGCACTTCTTGTTCCCAATCTTAATGGACCTGCGAAAATCCATGGTTATAGGATCAGTAAAACCTAGGGTTTGTTTGCTAGGGTTTAGGAATAGGAGAGAGAGAGGATGAGCAGAGTACGCGTTGGGAGAGAGGCAGGCGAGACAGAGGCGGTCGCCATCGTTGATGTCGAGAAGGACGCTGCATCCCTCCCACGTGATCCTCGAGTTGGACTCCGTCGCCATGGCTCTCTGATTTCGCCGGAGATAATAAAATTTAAAATTTTAAATAAAAAAAATAGGGTTTTGGGTTTTAGGGCTTTTTAAGCTTTTTATTTATTAGACTAGACTAGACTTGATTGGACACCCGTGAGGGTTCAGAGGGGGCGGGCAAGAGATTAGAGAAAACTTTAAAAATAATTTGTCTAATTTGAAGATTTTGCAAAAAAATAATGTTAGGGCACAAAATATCATGTATGATCCACTAGCACTATAGAGAGTGTGGGGGTATGATTGAGAGTGTGGTTAAAGGTGTGCCGCTAGTGGGACTCTTTATATCTTCTATTATGCAAATAGGAGAAATTTCTTCTGAATATTTTTATTAACTTACTATTTAAACATACCACAAATGGCATTTTAAACATAACTAAGTTATATTTCAAAATCGAACTATGTTGGGTTTAACAATAAATTTAACAAACACCAAAGATTAAAACGCTAAAATTAGCTCATCAATTGCCACAATGAAAAAATCCTATGATATTTGAATTGATGCAAAATAGCACTTATATACCCTATTATTTCAACTACTTCTCACTTATATACCCAAACTTTTATTTGGTAGCAAAAAAAAACACCCTAAAGTTTTTTTAAACTTGCACTCATATACTCTCACTTTTTTTTACGGCACTTAAATAACCTAATATTTTTACAATTAGCACTTAAATGTTCTAAAATTCTTAAAACTTGCACATAAATACCCTCAATTATGCAAACTTGAGAGCATTTAACTATAAATTTTAAAATTTTTAAGGTATTTAAGTGTCTGGTTTAAAAACTTTAGGATATGTAAATACAAGTTTTAATAACTTTAGGATATATAAGTGCTACCAAAATCAAGTGAGGACATATGAGTGCAAGTTTAAAAACCTTTAGAGTGTTTTCTTGCTATCACATACAAGTAATGATATATAAGTGAAAAAGTAGATGAAACAATAGGTATACAAATGCTATTTAGCCTCAATTCAAATTTCCTAGGATTTTCCAGTGTGGCATTTGGCAAACTAATTTTAGCATTTTAATATTTGGTTTTTGTTACTTTTATTGTTAAACCCAACATAATTCGATGCTGAAATATCTTTATCGTTATCTTTATCTTTACAACTATAAAAGAGGATTGCTATGTTAAAACTTTTGATTTCCTTTTATACCGTCTCAATTTTAATAATCCCCAATACCTATAAGTATTAAACGTTGTGTGGTTCTAATGACTATTAAGTTCCATTGAAATTATGTTTATGGTTAAGCACTAATTATCATGTTAGTTATCTTGTGAGGACTTTTTGGGTTCCCATGAAATTGTATTTTGGGTTAAGCACTTATTTTTTATTTTGTTTTACATAATCACTATTCAGCTCGAAAATATAGTGAGGCATCTGCAATAATATGATGAAGGATAATGTTTTAGAGCAACTAACCAAAATTATATTATGCAAAGACCTCTTTACGCATGTAGAAAGACCCAATTTTCATCTTGATTAAGTTAAATATCAGAAATGTTTGGTCAATATTTTCTTCAAGTTCTTTGTTTAGAAGAATAAAGAACTTGCTTGTAGTTATACCATAGAACTGTGCCTAATATTGTACAAATTATATACAATGTGCTAATGTAGTAGCTAATTATTTTGATTTGGACTCCCACAAAAGGAGAAAATAAAATAAACACTAAAGAGAAACTTCTATTAAAAAAATATAGGAGGATGAATAATCAAATTATTTGAAGAGATGAAGAGTCAATAGGAAAGCTTAATTACAAGATATTGAGGGTTAAATAAAAACGATGTGTACCCAATTTAGCAATATAAGAAATTAGATAATGTTAAAATATCCTTAAATTTATAATCTAAAGCAAACCACTACGTAAAAACTATAGAGTTTCGACCATAAGGATACTCAATCTCTTTGGTAGTCATTTTCTTTATAGGAAATTTATGTTGAGATTATATTAGAGTGGATCTCTAAAACTTTGATGTTTTGAGATAACCCCTAAAACTTATTGTTAAATTATAAATTTAACATTAAAAACTAATTTAATAACAAATACTCATCTGTAGATTTATCATGCATCACGTGCAATGCATGTATGACATACTAGTAACTTAAAAATGCCATTTGTGGTATGTTTAATAGTAAATTCATAAAAATATTCAAAAGAGCTTTCTCTCATTTGCATAACAAAAGATATAAAAGTACAAATTTTAAAATTTTTAGGATATATAATTGCCGCTAAAAACAAGTGAAGATATACAAGTGCAATATACGAGAAACCATAAGGTATTCAACTGTTAATTAGCATATTATAACGCTATGCTCCTGGTGTTGTAAAGATTAGATACATTGTTAAATGGGT